GTCCGCACCTTCTCCCTCTCTTCAGCACAGGTGAGTGTCTGTATCCGAACTGTCCTATGAGCAGGGTTCAGTGAAAACAAAGAAACAAACAAACGCAGGCCGGCCGCGGAAACGCTCCACTCTTACCGGCACTGCATGATCTGGTCAGCTTCTCAGGCTGCCCACTTTCGGCTCAGTCCTCCGTAATCACTGAATCAAAATCTCAAATCCCCCGGTGCCAGGAATCCCGCGGAACTCCTTTCCCCAGTCAGGGGCTGTGTCTGTCCCAAGAGACTCGGCTGTCTGCCACGCGGTCTCCCTCCGACCCTCTGGGCTCAGAGGTCTGGCAAAAAACTTAGTGTCTTTTTAAAAAATATTTTTATTGATTTCACAGTGGAAGAGAGAGGGAAGGACAGAAACATCAATGATAAGAGCGAATCATTGATCAGTTGCTTCCTGCACATCCCACACTGGGGATTGAGCCCGCAACCCGGGCATGTGCCTTGACTGGGAATCGAACCGAGACCTCCTGGTTCATGGGTCGATGCTCAACCACTGAGCCATGCTTGCCGGGCAGTATCTTTTTTATATGTGTAAATCAATAGTGATGTTTATGCTCTAATTCCTAATATTGGTAATTTGTGTTTCTTGTTTTTTCCTTCTAAATCTGGCTAGAGATTTGTCATTAAAAAAAAAATTATTTTTATTGATTTCAGAGAGGAAGGTGGGGGGGGGGGAGAGACAGGGAGGGAGAGAGGGACAGGGAGAGGGAGAGGGAGAGAGAGAAACATCAATGATGAGAATCATTGCTTGGCTGCCTCCTGCACACACCCTACTGGGGATCGAGCCTGCAACCCAGACATGTGCCCATGCCAGAATCGAACCGAGGACTCTTCAGTCTGCAGGCCAATGCTCTATCCACTGAGCCAAACCAGCTAGGGTGGGTCTTTTTTTATACCATATACCTTTTTGGAGAGTTTGTTCTACATCTGTGAAATATGCTGTAGGTTTTTAATGGGGATTGCATCAAATCTATAGATTGCTTTGGGTAATATGGACATTTTAATGATGTTGATTCTGCCTATCCATGAACACGGTATATTCTTCCATATGTTTATGTCTTCCTCTATCTCTTTTTTCAGCATCCTGTAGTTTTCTGTGTACAGGTATTTTACCTCCTTAGTTAAGTTTATTCCTAGGTACCTGAATTTTTTTGGTGCAGTAGTAAATGGGATTGTTTTTTTAGTTTCTCTTTCTGTGGGTTCATTATTGGTGTATAAAAATTCCATAGGTTTCTGGGTGTTAATTTTGTATCCTGCTACGTTGCCAAATTCATTTATTAAATCTAATTGTTTTTTGATGGAGTCTTTAGGGTTTTCTATGTACAATATGTCATTTTCCAATAATGAATATTTTACTTCTTTTTCAATTTGGATGCCTTTTATTTCTTCTTCTTGTCTGATCACTGTGGCTAGCACTTTCAATACTATGTCGAACAGGAGTGGTTAAAATGGGCATTCCTTTCTTGTTCCTGTTCTTAGGGGAAATGGTTTTAGTATTTGTCCATTGAGTATAATGTTTCATCTAGTCCTACTCCTGAATATTTTCAGGTCCACTTTCAGTTTGCATAACATTTGTTAAAACATATCTAAGTGAAATTTGCATATTGATACACAGCAGTTATCCTATCTTTGTTTATGGAGAAGATTGTGATAATCATGAAATTCAAAACTTTTCATGTAGAGCAAAACAAATTCCAGTTTATCTTTCTTTGAAGTACTCTTAGTCTAAGTGCTATTTTTTTTTTACTTTTATCATAGTCTTTAAAAACAAAATCTTCATTTTTGAGATTATTACAGATGTCCCCTCTCCCCATGGTCCCCCTTCACTCGATTCCTGCCCCGCCCCAGGCCTTCATCACCCTATCGTCTATGCCCTTAGATAACGCATATCTATATATAAAAAAGCCAAGAGACTAGAATGCTGGAACAACTGCTTGATTTGAAGCGCACTGTGGCCCTGATCAGTCCCCCCACCCGATCGGGGGCGGGGCTGGTCTGCCAACCTCCTGCGGCCCCTCCCACTGGCCGACCAGGCCCCGATCAGCCCCAATCAGGGCTGGCCGGCCGGACCCCACCCGTGCACAATTTCGTGCGCTGGGCCTCTAGTATGAGTATAAGATCTTTGCTTAATCTCCTCCCACACACCCCCTCACACCTTCCTTCTGAGATTCATCAGTCTGTTCCATGTTTCCATGCCTCTGATTCTATTTTATTCAGTTTAGTTTGTTTATTGGCTTTCTTATTACAGTGGGGCCTTGACTTACGAGTTTAATTCGTTCTGTGATGGAGCTCGTAACTCAAATTACTCGTATGTCCAATAACTGTGATGTTCGCTGTGCCAACTAGCAGTGGGGTATCTGAAGCTGGCTTGTACGTAACCCGAATTTTAGCTTGCAACTCAAAGCAAAAAATTGGCCGAGAGACGGCTCGTATCTCGAAAAAACTCATTAGTCGGGACACTCGTAAGTCAAGGCCCCACTGTAGTTTATTTCGATTTTTAGATTCAATTATTGATATGCATTTATTGCCATTTTATTATTTTTTGTCTTTTAATCTTTATTATTGAAAGTATTACATAGGTCCTTCTTTTCCTCCCACTAACCTCTTCTGGTCGGCTTCCATATTCCCTCATACCCCCAGGCTCTCACCACCCCATTGTCTGTCCACGGGTTATGCATATATACACACCAGTTCATTGATTGATCGCATATTTTTTAATCCTCCTCTTCTTTTTCTTTCTCTGCATTTTGGCTGCTTCCCTGAGTTTGTTTCTAGGTAGAGCTGTTATGTCTCCTAGAATTGGTAGAGTCGTCTTGTGTAGTAGGTGTCCTGTAGGGCCAGTGGCTCAACCTCCCCGGTCACCTGATCTGGGCACTCTAGGTGTGCCCCTTTGTGGCCTGTGTGCACAGTCTTGTACTTGAGCCTTGATTGCTGCTGGCATCACTGGGAGGAATTGACTTCTAGGCCAGTTGGCTGTGAGGACCAGCTGTGTCTACAATGGAAGAGTTGCTATGTAGGTGACACCCCTATGCAGCAGGACTTGCTTAAGTGGTGCTCACTGAGACTGCCCCTTGAGTGTGTTGCTGTGGATGTGTAGAGGTGTAATATGCTATGGTCTGAAGCTCTCCACTGGGTGCACTGGCTCTGGGGCCTCTGGGGAGGTGCAAAGTCAGCCACTGCCTGGGGCCACCTGGCATGAACTACAGTGAGATATACAGATGACTGCTACTTGTATTGGGCTAGGAAGTGCCCAGGTGAGGCCACCCTGTAGAAGCAAGGCAGACGGGTGCTAGTGTAGGGTCTTGGGCCTTTTATTGATAGGTTTGATGCCAGCTGCTGCTTGTTTGAGAGATTTTAGGAAATCTGAAGCCTGGGCCAGGACAGGCCATTCATATGAAAAAGCCAGGGGTGGGTTCTCAGGGAATCACCAGGGTGGAACAAACAATATGGGCCATGCTTATAGAAACTCACATATGGCTGCCAGTCAGCTCTGTGATAGGGGAGGTCCCAGCACAGGAACAATGACCCCAGCCAGCATCCCTGTCTGGGACAAAGCTGCCCATGAGTTTCTGCCCAATGCCAGACAGTCCAGTTCCTCCCTGTATGTCCCTGGATTCCCCTAAACCTGCTGCCTGGCGCTGGAGCTCAGAGGAAGCAGGACCTTATAAGTTTGTGGAACATCTGGGACTTCAGCAGCTTCCATGTCACTCAGCCACAATCCTTGCTGGTTTTTACAGCGTGAAGTTACAGGGACTTCTTTTCCAAGCTCTGGAACCCTGGGCTGGGAGTCTCGTGTGGGGCTGCGACCCCCTGCTTCTCAGGGGAGGTATTGGAGATATCCCTCCCGATTAAAAAAATGTCACACATGGGTGTCGGACCAGCCCATTTTGTGCCTCTGCCCTTCCTACTAGTCTCAGTGTGCTTTCTTCTTTATTTCTGTGGTGGTAGAACTTCCTTTCAGCCAGCTTTCAGTCAGTTCTGAATGATGGTGGGTTCTGTATTTTGTTGTAATTTTGATGTGGTTGTAGGAAGCAACAAGCACTGGTGTTTACCTACACCTCCATCTTGGTTCTCTCATCACAGTCTGTTCCTGATAATACATTTATGTATGAAATAACCAGAAACTTGGTTCAGACATTATAGGAAAACATCTCTTTAGTTTTTTTAAACTGATGTTGAAATAGTATTGAATAAAAATAGTGTGATTAATCTTACTTTTGCTATTCTAGGTTATATATGAACAGGAAGGTGTCTATATTCACTCATCTAGTGGAAAGAGCAATGACCAAGACAGCTTGATTTCAGGAATATTACGTGTTTTGGAGAAGGTATGTTTCCAGTAAATGATTTTATTTAATAATTAATTGTTCATGGTAGTGGCTAATCTTTGGGGCATTATCAGCAAGTTTGGATTCCATGTGTAAGATAAAGTTATGTAATCAAACAATAGTTGTAAATTTAACATTAAATGATATTAGAAATAAAATACTTCAGAAAGTCAGTAAAATGGCATGGAATACTTAAAAACTTATTATGTAGAAGTTGCAGTAATACATTTCTTATAATAAAATGTGAGCAGAGTTTTAAAATCTACATTATATTGGTTGTCCGATAGTAGTTTATATATGATATTGCATATTTAAAGTGCTAATATTTAAGAGGTTAAAATTTTATTTTGGGTTCATGGAATTAAAAATAATGTAAGAATGTAATAATGACTAAGAATGTAAGATATTGCGGAATAGTAAATGTAGTTCATAATTTTCTTCTCTAGGATGCTGAAGTTATAGTGGATTGGAGACCATTGGATGATGCTTTAGATTCTTCGAGTATTCTCTATGCTGGAAAGGTATTTAAGAAAAAAATAAATGGCTCAGGAAAGTTAGGCCATTTAAGAAAAAATAACAGCTTTATTGAGATATAATTCATACACCATAAAACTCACTCTTTTAAAGTGTAAAATTCAGTGGTTTTAGTAAATTTACAGTTTTGTGCAATCATTGCCAATATTTAATTTTAGAACATTTCATCACTCCCGAAAAAGAAACAACCTTTTATTGGTCACTCTTTAATTCCCTCTTCTTCCAGTCCCCGGCAACCACTAATCTACTTTGTCTCTGAATTTGCCTGTTGTGGACATTTCCATATAATGTGTGGTCTTTTGTGACTGGCTTCTTTCGCTTAGCATAATGTTTCAAGGTTTATGCATAATATAGTATCTATTGATATTTTCTCCCCCCCCCCCCCCCCCGAATAATACTGCATTTATGGATATACCACATTTTGTTTTTTCATTATTTGATGGACATTTTTTTTTAACTTTTAGACTAATATAAATAATGCTGCTATGAACATTTATGTACAAGTTTTTGTGTGAGCATATATTTTCTCTTGAAAACCTAAGCGTAGAATCATTGGGTTTATATGATAATTTGTCTTTAGCATTTGTATCATGTGTTGACTTCTCACTATGGTAGGTAGAGATTTAGCTCTGTCTTACCTCTATTTCACCTTCACCTTGAAACTCTGGCCCAGCTGTCCACATTTCTTCTCAAAGTATTTAATCATATACATGATCTTCTAATTTCATCTTCATAAAGACATTTCTTCCAGAGTCTCACATGCTTCATTTTGTACTGGTTGCCCTCTGGGTTTTCTGTGCAGCAGTTATCCTGGGGATTCTTTTAGCCTCTTTCCCATATTTTATTCCCTCCCCCCTTTTAAAAAAATCCTATGCTGTTATCTACCTATTTTGGTTTACTGCCTTGTTTTGGGTTTACTCCTAAGTTCCAGTGCTTCCTGAGGGGAAAAAAAGGTGCATGGGAACAAAAAAAATTTTTTTTTATTCTTATTCTGGATTGGATAGCTTGGCTGGCATAGAAATTTTCCCACATGTTTTTGAAAGTTATCCCAGGTTTGTCTAGTTTTCTTTATTGATGTTTGGTTGAATGCATTCTAATCCCTTATCCTTTGTATGTATTTTTCCTCTTTAGAATCTTTTTTAGGATGTCCTGGTAATGAGCCTTTGTAGTCGTTTTTATTCTTTGTGCTGAGTACTTCTTGGGCCTATTTAATATGGAAACTTGTGTCTTTTATTTCTTAGGAAATATTTTTGAGTTATTTCCTCTCTATTTTTCCTTTTCTTTCCTTAGGAAAAACTCTTTAGACCTTCTGGACTGGTCCTGTAATTATTTTTAGTACTTTCTTTCCTATTTTCTAATTCTTTGTGTATATATGTATACTATATTCTGGCAAATTTCTTCAATTTTATCTTTTAGTTATTGCCATTTTCATTTTTGTTACATTTTTAAAAAATATTTTTAAAAATATGTTTTTATTGATTTCAGAGAGGAAGGGAGGGGAAGAGAGATAGAAACATCAGTGATGAGAGAGAATCATTGAATGGCACCTCCTGCGCGTCCTCTACTGGCGATCAAGCCCACAACCCAGGCATATGCCCTCAACAGAAATTGAACTGTGACATCCTGGTTCATAGGTTGATGCTCAACTACTGAGCCACACAGGCCATGCTATTATAGTTTTAATTTCCCCCTCTGGGAAGTAAGCTAAAGGGGGCCTTGGAAACAGGTTCAGGGGTTAGCTTAGGACAAGTTTCCACTGCCCATTGCTCCTCTGGTTGTAAATCTTGTGGCGTCCCTTGGAGTTTAGGAGATGCCTTCCTGTGGTGGAGGAAGAGGGGCAAGGAAATGGTGGGGGCTACTCCCCAGAGGAAAAGCTGAATCCTTTTCTTGCTGCCAGGAATCTTAGGGGAGATCTTGGGGGGATCTTGTTTTTAGCAGAATATTCATCAGTTTTCTAGATGTGCTCCTTCAGGGTCATAGTCTTCACTAATTGGTCAGTGTCAGGGCAGGGGTCATTAGTCATTGCAACTAATCCTGGTGTTGCCCACTTGGTTTTGCTACTTTTCTGGGACTGGAGCTGAAATACGACTGGGGCTTAGATGTTATTTCTAGGGAGGTGACCTTCTGTATCTGCTAAAAATTGCTCTTCCAGGTTGTTCAGCTATCTGTCTCAGTTTCCCTGTTCCAGTTATCCTGGCTCACTGGCTTGCCTTACCCTGTTTTTAAACCCAGCATCCTGTTCTTAGTGGATGTAATATCCTTCCTTATTTCTAAGGATAGTTTTTTTTAGATGCTTTCATTTCTGTATATAGTCTACTTCCTCTAATTGACTTTTTTTCTTGTTTCATTTGGACTTTGTCTTCTGTATAGACATTTGCCTGAAGTTTGGTGATCTTTGTAGTGCTCATATTTAACAGCACACACAGAAAAGTGACTATACTCTCTCTAGGTTTGAGTAGGTTTGGTAATAGTTGGGACTCAGGATGATCTGGCTACTCTGCTTATGTGAGAATCCTTGGTGTTGAAATTTAGGTCTTTCTCTTGGGTTACTCATTCTTCAGAGAACAGTCTGCAGATTCCCGGCTGGAAAGGGTAAGCCTGGATTCCAGTGTTATGGGAACTGAGAGGAAGAGAGCTAGGAACCTTGCCAACTCATTGTAGAGATGGACTTTTAGGTAATTCTCCTGTTTTTAGTGTATTATCCCTTTGCTGACTGCGCTTGGTTTCTCCTAATCTAGAGATAAACTGTTAGCTTTTTTAATGAGTAAACCTCTAGCCTCTGGACTTTTGTTAGTAGTCCTTTTTTTAATTTGACCTTTATACTGATTTCCAAAAGTACTTGATGTACCTGTTCCAAGCCTTTGTGTGAGGTGGGGTTCTGTAGATGCTTCTTAGCTTTCCCCACTAGAGATGGTAGAGTTGGTAATGATGGTGGTAAGGACTGCATCCCCCCCTCCCCCCCCCACACACACACACTGCTTTTATTATTTTATTTATTTCTCGTTTTTGTTGTTAATACTATCCCAAGGATATTTTTCCATTAATATTTAGATATTTAGAAATAGTGGAAGGGATGGGGAAAGACAGTGAGAGAGAAACATCGAAGTGAGAGAGACACATCCATTGGTTGCCTCCCTCATGTGCCCAGACCAGGGCCATGAATGGAGCCTGAAACCAAGGTGTGTGCCATTGCCTGGAATCAAACTGAGACCCTTCAGTCTGAGTGCCTATGCTCTATCCACTGAGCCAAACTGGCTAGGGCAGGGCTGCATTTTTTAAATTGGGCAACCATGGGTGGGGGTTCCCTAGGAAGGACCTGAAAGAAGAAACACTCCACTTTATAATTTCATTCATTCAGTCACTCCCCAATTTTCAGTCTGTATCTATTCTTATTACTTAACTAGAGTCCCGGTGCATGAAAATTCATGCACTGGAGGGGGAGTCCCTCAGCCCGGCCTGCCCCCTCTCACAGTCTGGGAGCCCTCAGAGGTGGGAGGCGACCTGGCGATCGGGGGAAGGCGACGCCCCATCACACCTCTGCTCCTGCCACTGCCGGCAGTGCAAGCCTCGGCTGGCCCTGGTTACCTGAGCCTCGGGCGGCCCTGGGGGGCTGGGCAGCCGCCATCCAAGGCTTGCCTGTGCCTCGGGCTGGCCCTGGGCGGCTGGGCAGCTGCCATCTGAGCCTTGCCTGCCCCGTGGGCCAGCTCTGGGTGTCTGGGGGGCTGAGGGGTCTGGGGGACTCTGGAGGCGCCATGTGCCTGCCACCCTGGTGGGCTGAGGGGACTGGGTGCTGCCATCTTTGAGGGCGTGGCACTTGATTAGCATATTTCCTCCTTATTGGCGGTGGGTGCCGCCATCTTTGCGGCAGCGTGAGGGTCAATTAGCATATTCCCTCTTTATTAGATAGGATTGGCAACCCTAACTGCAAGGCATCTGGGTAAGCTTATCTTCCCCTCCCCTTTCCTTCCGTTTCTTTTTCTTTTTTTTTTCTAATTGTAAGAGAACATTTATTTAGAAAGTTATAAAGATAGAAGAGGTGAGCTAGTTGGGCTGTGTAGGCTCAGGAAACAAGCAATAGAAGCAAAAGAAGGGCCCTTGGAGCTTAGGAGAGGGAAAGGCAAAGGTGTAACATGACTGGGGGGGAAGGGAAGGGGGATGGGAAAGGTGCGGGTGTACTCCCGATGGTAAAGCTTGGGCAAGGGAGAAAATGACAGGAAATAGTGTCCCTGTTTTCTCACCAGTGATGCCTGCCATAATGTATAAATTTAATTTATGTAGATGCTGAGATGACATTATTGATTGAAATGAAATTCTACTTCTAGTCTCTAAATATTTTATATGTTATAATCATTTTAGGATTCCAGTTCAGTTGTAGAATGGACTCAGGCCCCAAAAGAAAGAGCTCATCGAGGACCAGAACATGTGAACAGTTACGAAGCAGAGTGGGACATGGTTAATACAGTTTCATTTAAAAAGAAGCCACATACCAATGGAGGTATGAATTAAATCGTTGAAATCTTAAACTGATTTGCTGCAATATTATTATTTTTTAAAAAATATATATTTTATTGATTTTTTACAGAGAGGAAGGGAGAGAATCATTGATGAGAGAGAAACACTGATCAGCTGCCTCCTGCACCCCCCCCCCCCCCCCCCCGCTGCAGGTGTGCCCACACAAGGTACATGCCCTTGACTGGAATCGAACCTGGGACCCTTTAGTCCGCAGGTCGATGCTCTATCCACAGAGCCAAACCGGTCAGGGTTGCTGCAATATTATTTAAACAAAAGTGCAAAGAAAGTTCTTTATGTTCCTCAGAGAAGAAGGATGCTTTGGTGCTTTGATACAGTAGTAACTCTTACATTTTAGTTATATTCCCTTTTCATCACTTTTTTGCTTTGTTTGGTGTTGTTGGTTGTGACTTCATAAAAAAGGCTTTAAAAAATCCTTTTTCTGTTTTGTAGTTATTAATGGCAAAAAATAGAAACATGTTAGAAAATTGCTGTGGTTGTCTCTCATGCATATTTTTCTTAATCTAGTAGAATTTTTAAAAAAGAAAGTTATTTCATCCCAAAGCACCAGGGGGAGATGGAGTATACTGCTAACCATCCTATTCTAATTTCAGTGTTTACTGGGAATTTAACAGCTCATTGCAGTCTCCCCTTTATACATGTTCAGTGATTATTCTGTTTTATATATATATTTAAATCTGTGTTTGCCATATGTAATTATCTAAATGTAGATAACAAAAAAGAGCCAAGCTAACAGCCTGATAGAACACATATATTATTCTAAATATGGTATAGTGTATCTGTGATATGGCCAGGTTATTTGTGATTGATCGCTTTTAAAAATATTAAACACTTGTATATGTTTTTTTCCTATTGATTCCTCTATGTTTTATAACTAAAAGTATATTTTATCTCTTAATGATTTTGGTTTGAATGTAGGAATTTATCCATGTGTATCAAAATTTATTAGAATATCTCTTGCTACATTTATATAGCATTGTTACTAAGTAAAATTGATTTTCATATATGGCCTGGGGAATTATTCTCATATACTAGAGGCCTGATGCATGAAATTCATGCAAGAGTAGGCCTGCCTTCTCCCAGCTGCTGGCACTGGCTTCCCTCTGGCACCCAGGACCCAGGCTTCCCTGGCAGCCCTGGCTTTATTGAAGGACATCTGGTCTAATTAGCATATTACGCTTTTATTATTATAAATAGTAGTTAGATTTTGAACTGTATCATTTCTTGGAAACTGGCAATTAAGATAAATATTAATTCACAAGATATTGACAATCAGTTTATGCATGTGTGTTCCTCTTCTATTTATTTATTTATTTACTTACTTACTTATTTACTTACTAACTAACTAACTTATTGGAATTCTCTTTCTATCGAAAGAGAACCAGAGCAATGCAAAGTGTTAAGGAAAAGTAAAACCACAGGATTTTAGTATATTTGGCAGGTGAGGGATTTTTAACTTCTCTAGACTAGATCTTTAGGATTGGTTATGTGAATTGCTATTTTTTTGTTCGTTGTTGCCTAATACTGTTAAATCCTTGAAAATGAAAAAGTCAGACTGCAGGAATGAGCAAAATTAGTTTTCAGAATTCCATAGAAGAAAGAAGCATTATGTGGATGAGAAAAGTATAATCTGACAATAAAGATATTTTTATTTTATTTATTTGTTTTTTTAGAGAGAGAGGAAACGGGGAGAGAGAAACATGATGTGAGACAGAAACATCGATCAGTTGCCTCCCCTACTTGCCCCGACCTGGGATTGAACCCACAACCTAGGTATGTGCCAGGACTGGGAATTGAATCCACAACCTTTTGGTGTAAAACAGGACGACGCTCCAACCAATTGAGCCACTGGCCAGGGCTAAAGATCTTTTTTAGAATAATGGTTTTCAACTTTGCACATTGAAATTATTTGGGAAGATTAGGCTTTTAAAAAAATACTAATGCCTGGCTTTCATTCAGCAAATTAAATCATACTCTGGAGATAGAGACTGGACATCTATACTTTTCAAAATCTCCTAGTGCAGTGGTCGGCAAACTGCGGCTCGCGAGCCACATGCGGCTCTTTGGCCCCGTGAGTGTGGCTGTTCAACAAAATACCACGTGTGGGCGCACACATACAGTGCGATTGAAATTTTGTGGCCCATGCGCAGAAGTCGGTATTTTGGCGCCTTCAGAGTCCCCCAGACCCACAATTCAAAATTGTGCCATTATGAAACTACATATATATTTACATTTTTAATCCTCAGCCAAGGATATTTTTTACATTGATCTTTTAGAGAGAGTGAAAGAGAGGAGGGGGGGGAGAGAGAGAGAGAGAGACAGAGAGACAGAGAAGAAGAGAGAGAGAGAGAGAGAGAAACATTGATATGAGAGACACATCAATTGGTTGCCTCCTGCACGTGCCCTGACTGGGGCCGGGTTTTGAACCTGCAGCGGAGGTACATGCCTTGACTAGGAATTGAATCCGAGACCCTTCCATCTGAGGGCCAGTGCTCTAACCACTGAGCAACTGGTCAGGGTTATTTTTATATTTTTAAAAAGCATTTTTTTCAAATATTTTTACCCTTGTTGGTGATTCACAAAGGAAACTTGGGACAAACCTTTAAAAAATTGACTATTGAAGATTTACTTAACTTTATATTTCTTAAGAGTTTCTACTGCTAAATATTGCTTTTATGTACTAGATAAATATTTTGAAAATATATATTCCCTGAACAACAGACTGACATGATGTTCTACAAACCCATCTAAAATGTCATATCCTTGATGTAATTTTATTTAAGACATGGATACTTACTGAGCTCTTTGTTTTACTCTTCTGCGTTATGGCCAGTTTTCTCATGTCAGTGTTTTGGGGATGTTTTTATACATATTTGGTAACATAGTAAGTTCATCAGTACCAATTAGTTTTATTACCTTTCTGTAAGGAAAACGAAGGAAATTTTGAGCTAACTCTTGGGTTCTGTTTCTTTGTAACCATCTGTTTCTGGTTAGTTATTGATGATAGATTAAATTGTTGACTTGTCTTAGTTATTCATTTATCAACACATCTTTGAGTACCTATTACGTGGTAGTCACTCTTCTAGGAGCTGGGGATATAGCTGTGACAAAATAAAATTCCTGTTCATGAAGCTATATTCTAGTAAAAGGGACTTCTAGAATTGACTTGTAATGTTTATCTCATCATTTGTCAGCATTTTTTAAAAAATATTTTTCTTGTCATTTTTTCATTGATATTTTTTTCTAATATATTTTATTGATTTTTTACAGAGAAGGGAGAGGGATAGAAAGTTAGAAACATTGATGAGAGAGATTGATCAGCTGCCTCCTGCACGCCCCCTACTGGGGATGTGCCCGCAACCAAGGTACATGCCCTTGACCGGAATCGAACCCGGGACCCCTCAGTCCGCAGGCCGACGCTCTATGCACTGAACCAAACCGGTTCGGCTGTCAGCATTTTAACTGAGGAAATGTGTGAGGCATATTCTGTTTTACTTAATATGTAATGTGTGTCTCTTCCTTTAATGAAAAAATCTGTAAAATTTTTAGTTTTGGATATGCACAAACTCCTGATGATTCATATAACCTGCATATATTATTTAATGTTCTCCACATGATTTTCTTACATTAATTTGGGTTCAGTACTTTTTTGTGTAACTTAAGGATTTCATTTAAATAATTGTTTATATCTAGTTTTCCATTGCTCTTTTGCTGTGAAAATATTTTTGTTCTTTGCAGATAATATAGTAATAGGTAGTCTAAGTGTATATTCACACTTAAATGATTCATGAAGATATTGGAATTGTACTAGTAGTATTGTTCTCACTTTGATATTAGCTTGTAGTAATGTTATAAGCTCTATAATATAAATTCCAGTAAAACATGTTATATAGCAGCCAAGTGGGCACATGTCACTTAATCTAGTGCCAGCCTTAGATATGAGTTCACCATTCCAGCTGGTGTGTTACTTAAGCCTTTTTGTGCTTCCTTTGAAATGATACTTGCTAAAGTGTCCATGAACTAGGAATGGTGCCTGCATTCCTTGAAGGTAGCAATTTCTGTAAGCTGTAGATTTCTTTGTGTCAGTGTAGGAGGTCTTTTTGGAGTTGATGGAGTTATAGTGTTCCTGACTGTATAAGAAGGGTGATTGATATACATGCAGGTCAACACCAAAGAAGAGCTTGAATAACAGTATGACACTTCTTAGGAAACAACATTAGGTACAATGTTTTTTAAAATTTTAGGAACATGACATGCTTATGTCTGAGTTAAAATGTTAAAATAAAATGATTTGAAATCATAACTAGATTAGAAACTAATTTTGTACATTAATGAGAAGAAACATTTTTCTTTGTTTTTTAAATTTTTATTTAAATGGATAATCTTTAAGTTCCTTGTTATCAATTATGATATTGTTCACAAACCTAGGATTTAAAGCTTTTATAAACAGCCCACAAACTCAGAAAATGCTTTATTTTACATAACTATAGTTTGATTTGAAATGAGGTCTTAATTTAGTATAAGATTGATTTAGCAGGAAGGTTAAATGTATTCATTCTCTTTGAAGCATTTATAACTTAATTATATTTCACCCTTAATTCCCCACTGTTCTTTGGGTTTTTGCCAAAAAAAAAAAAAATAGTCTGGCTATTCACCCCAATATATATATATTTTATACTGGTATACTTATCTTCACTCAATGTAGTCTAGTAAAAATAATTGCAATGGAAGTGATGGAAATAAAAGTTTGTTTTTGTTTTAAATGATTGTCCAAGAGCATCATCATCCATATTTGGGGAAGTGGAAAGTATTAACATTTATTGAGTATTCGCTACATACTTTGCACTGTACCTAGTTAGTTGACAAGTATTATATCTTTTAATTCTTAGAATAACATTGTGAGGTAAGTATAATTCTCTCCATTTTACAGATGATGAAACTGAGACTCAGAAAGATTCAGTTATTTGCTCCACATCATTCGCTTAGTAAGATTGTGGTATTGTAATTTGAATCCAGCCAGCCTGCTTCCAGAGTCATGTTCATTTTGGGCAAAGCTTATATTTAAATGGGGATAACCTTTTTAGTTTGTGTGCAACAGGATAATTATTTTAAAAATTATTTTTTAAAGAAAATAAGCATAACCAATGGACACAAGACACTGGGAGGGGGGTGAGGGAATATGCCGGGGAGTAGGAAAGGCTGGGGGAAGGTCAATTGGAAAAAAAAAAGAGACATATGTACTACTATTTGTAATACTTTATTTAAACAATAAAAAAATAATGTAAAAAAATAAAGAAAATATATGTTGCCATTTTTAATACAGGTGGGAGCCATAGTGATATGAATGGCATAGTCATTCCCTAGGGTCAACAAATTTCTGTTAGGCCATCATGAAAGCACTGTCAGTACCTTTTAAAAAGGTGAACAAAAATATTTTGCCCCACTTTCTTGTTTTTAAGATACTCCAAGTCAAAGAAATGGGAAAAGCAAATGGTCATTCCTGTTCAGTTTGACAGACCTGAAATCAATCAAGCAAAACAAAGAGGGTATGGGCTGGTCGTATTTGGTATTCTGTCTCAAGGATGATGTCGTTCTCCCTGCTCTGCACTTTCATCAAGGCGATAGCAAACTACTGATTGACTCTCTTGAAAAATATGTGGTATTGTGTGAGTAAGTATCAAATTATTTTCTACTTATTGAAATTGGATTGTTGTATTGGACTCCAGGCAAACTCTTTTTACTTGTCAGTGGGTATCAGCGACCTATGTGCATACCAGGGCACAAGCAACTTTTTATTTTTCTGGGATATCAACTATTTTGAATAACATCTTGCCATTGTAATATTTTGGATCTGCAACCTGTTATCATAGCACTATTTTAAAGAAAAGTGGTCTGATATTTTTATACACATTTAAATGAAGATGCATCAGTAACTTATGGATTATCTATTTACCAAATTAACCTTTTATTATGTAGTTTTTATTAGGTATACAGACTTTTATTTGTAATATTGCAAATTTAAGTTAGGCAAATTTAAGTTAATTATAAAATTACTAAAGGCCCCATTCATGAAATTCGTGCACTGGGGGGGAGGGTGTGGTGGTGTTCTCCCTCAGCCCAGCCTGCGCCCTCTCACAGTCCAGGACCCCTCGGAGGATGTCCGCCTGCGGGCTTAGGCTCGCTCCCCACTGGCAGGCGGACATCCCCCCAGGGGTCCTTAGCGCTGCCATGGAGGTGGGAGAGGCTCCCGCCACCGCCTCTGTGCTCGCCAGCCATGAGCCAGGCATCTGGCTGAGTGGCGCTCTTCTAGCCGAGGGACACCATTAGTATACGATCGGGGTTGGGGAGGGACGTGAAAGCTTGGCCAGCTGGGGAGGGACTGTGGAAGGGCTCCAAGGTGTGTTCGGCCCATCTCGCTCAGTCCTGATCGGCTGGACCCCCGCAGCAAGCTAACCTACCGGTCCAAACGTCTGCCCCCTGGTGGTCAGTGCACGTCATAGCGATGGGTCGACCAGTCGACTGTCTGCCCCCTGGTGGTCAGTGCATGTCATAGCGAGTAGTTGAGTGGCCTTAGGATATCATTAGCGAATTGCGCTTTGATTGGTTGACTGGAAGACCAGACTCAGCATAGTAGGCTTTTATTATATAGGATTTTTAAAAATCTTGTATCTTACATGTATTCACCTATGTGCCTTTGTATACACATATTCTTTCTTGCTGTTACTCTCATCAAATATATTTTGGATATCAATTATGTTCTGAACACTGTGCTAGTTGCTTGATATTTAGTAGTGAATAAAACAGGCACATTTCTTGATATCTGAGAGTTTATGGTCTTGTGAAGGATGCTGACCAATAAGTGGCAATAAAATCAAGAACTAAGATGAAGGATGTACAAGGTGCTTTGGGAGCTCCCAGGAAGAGAGGAAAGGGTACCTCATTCAGACTGCAGGTTGGGTAGGACTCAGGAATACTTTCTGAGGAAGCGACATCTAAGTTGAAACCTGACAAATAAGTGAACATTAGCATGAAGGGGAAGGAGATATTTAAAAAGAGATGTTTTAGATAGAGAAAGGATGTAAAACATGATGTAATCACAAAACAGTAATTCAATATCACAGGTCTGCATAGTGAGAGAAGGGAGGTTACTAAATATAAAGATGAGGCCAAAGAGCTGGGTAAAGGCCAAAGCATGAAGGATCTTGTAAATCATGTTAGCAGGTTGTTCTAGTCATCTAGATGAAATTATAGTGGCATGAAATGGGAGAGTGACAGGGAAGATACAAGTACAGTGGGGCCTTGACTTATGAGTTTAATTCGTTCTGAGACCAAGCTCGTTAAGGAGCTCGTTAACTCAAAGTACTCTATCAACTCAATGCAAAAAATCAGCCGAGAGACAGCTGGTATCTCAAAAAACTCGTTAGTCTGGACACTCGGTAAGTCAAGGCCCCACTGTATTAGAGTTTGTGATTGATTGGATATATGGAGGTGAGAGGTAGAAGTTGAGATTTTCAGCTTGGGGAACTGTAGGGATGATTGTTAACTTCATGAATAATGTCCTCACTTTATAACAGGAAATAGAAAAATGTCCTTATTTTATCATGTCTAAATTTAGATTATATAAAGCTAAGAGTGATCCAATTGTTGGAAGATACTATGTATTTTCTGGGATGACATTTTATCCCCTACCATGTTGATCATTCCTGCTGACATTAGATATGCTGATCAGTACCAGTAACCATAAGAAAGTCAGGCCTGGTTGGTAGTATTTGGGTCTGGATCTTCAAGTGAAAAGCTGTGACTAGGCTACCATACAGGAGATTACTAGTAAGTAGATTTCAGGTGAGACATTGTCATGATTGGGGCAGAAAGTTTGGCCCTCTGAATAGCAGGTGTTAAAGACTTGGGTTTTACTTTTGAGCAAGCAAGTTCATTAATCAGTGTTGGCTCATTAATCAGTGTTGTGATGTAACACTCACAAAATAGCTCATTCAATCTGGGACTTGATTAAAGCATAGTACTAAGGATGAAGTGGTAGAACCTCTCTACTCTACTGGTGGGTTCATACTTTGGAGAACTGGGCTTAATTTTAAATGTGTTAGACCAGTGGTCGGCAAACTCATTAGTCAACAGAGCCAAATATCAACAGTACAACGATTGAAATTTCTTTTGAGAGCCAAATTTTTTAAACTTAAACTATATAGGTAGGTACATTGTTATTAACTTAATTAGGGTACTCCTAAGGCTTAGGAAGAGCCACACTCAAGGGGCCAAAGAGCCTCATGTGGCTTGCGAGTCGCAGTTTGCCGACCACTGTGTTAGACTAACTAGTCTACATGAAAAAGATGACGTGTAATAAAAGGGATAAGAATGGTATCATGAAAAACTTTAACTTGAAGAAGAGGAATTTTGGTGTAACATTAAATAAAATCCAGACTTCTTCTTATGGTCAACGAGGACCTGCCCTATCTTAGCTCTTTTTATCTCTTAAACCTTATCTCACACTATTCTTTTCTGTAGTCTAGCCACATGATTTTCTTTCAGTTCCTAAAACACCCTAAGTGCTTTCTTGTCTTAGGGTCTCCTTATGTATGCTATTTCTTTTGCGTGGGATATATTTTTTCCTTTTTGATCCTCAAGATAATAGTTTAATGGCACTTCCTCAGAAGAGCTTCTGTGGATGCCACTGTCTCCCATATAATGTAGGTTCCCACGTCCATTCCTTTTCACTGTCTCAGTCTCTTATTTACTTCCTTCATGGCCCTTAACAGAATAAAATCATTTTGTCTATTTTTTAAATGTTCTGCTCTAGAATGTAAGCCCATACAAGCAGGGATTGCTTTTATCTTGTTTGCATTGTCTCCTGAGTTCCTAGCCACAGTGCATAGCACATATTTGTACAATCAATCTTAGTTGAATGAATAAATGGTATGGTACTTTTAATTCTATAAGTAATATTGAAAGGGATGTTAAAAGAAATAAATTGTACATTTGTTTTGTATGACTCCAAAGAGAAAATGAAACAGATTTTAGCTTAAGATGTAGAGTTTTCTATCCTGGATGGGAAACTGATATACTCAGCAATCTATAATAATAATAACGTAATATGCTAATTAGACCGAACAGCTGAACGACCTTCTGGATGTCATTCCGGACAAAGCCACGGTGACGAGGGCCGAGGCAGAGGCAGTTAGAGGTGATCAGGCAGGCAGGCGAGTGGTTAGGGGCGATCAGGCAGACACATGAGTGGTTAGGGGTGATCAGGCAGGCAGGCGAGTAGTCAGGCCAGCAGGGGAGCAGTTAGGGGCGATCAGGGAAGCAGGCATTAGGGGCGACAGGCAGGCAGGCAGTCAGGCAGAGGGGTTAGGGGCGATCAGGCAGGCAGGCAGGCGGGCAGTTAGGTGCCGGTGGTCCTGGGCTAAGGGACCGCCGCGGCGCGCCCCCGTTCCCCTTGTGCATAAATTTTGTGCACGGGGCCTCTAGTCACATTATAAGGGCATGTGTAGCTTGAACGTGTGCTGGTCATATTTTAATGAGGGCTGTAAGTGAACTGTTGTTTTCTTTCCTGTATTTGTAAATTACTGAGTAGTAAATATAAGAATCAGACAGTTGCTGATAAAAATATAACCATTATCGGTGAAGCTTAGATATGCAGCATCATAATAATTCACCCCAAATTAGTTTTGAAGTGTTTGTCATTTTCAGACAACTGCAGGTCTCCCTCAAGAGGACAGATCACTTACGATGTGAATGAGAGCAGACTAGAAACTGCTTTCTCTGTTTGCAGGCAGATCCAGGAACAGGAGAGAGCCGGGATGGGATTATGCCAAACATGCACCTTGTTTTTTCCTGATTTCAGCAATCAAATGTGTCCCTGTGAAGGAGAATTTCTTTAGAACAAGTGCATATTTCCATTTGGAAACATGAAACCGGGGGAATGGTGGTGTTCTTTCTCCCTCTATTTTTTTATTTAACAACTAATTTTTTAAATTTTTTTTTTTGAGGAACTGGGTCAAGAGCTGAAAAGAGCAATAATCAAAAAAGATATGACCCCTGCCTTCATGGAGTTTGTACTATTGTGGAAATGTAGCAATATTCTGGAATGCCAATACTCTGTAATTGCCTAACAATATACTACTTGTCTTTTGGCTGATGTACTTTAAAAATGTTTTGTTGATTTTTTTTAGGGGCAACTAAGTCTTAAATTTCTTATGTCTCTCCTCCTAGAGCTCTCCCCAGCCCCTCATCACAGAATATTGGCTATAAAAAATGAAATCCTTCCTTTTTACAAAGTATCTGTGGTTGCTTGTTCATTGGGCAATCATTTCTTCTTCCCATCTACAGTTTACTGACTACAGTTTTAGATCTGTAGCCATAATGATCTGAGTCCAGATAGTTGAAGGTTGTATTTTTGTTCCCCTTCTATATGCATAGCCAGAGTTTTGACTTTAATGACCAATTTTTATTTGGATTTTAAAGAAATAATTTGACTTAGTTATTGTTAGAAACAAAATAATAACCTATGCAACAGCAGCACTGTGGTAGAAAAAAGTATGTTTTTATATTAGTTTCTTGTTCTGGTGCTACATTTAAAAGTTGATCTGTTATTTAAAAATACTATGTGAGAACCTGTACTCTAGGTCTTCATATTAAACATGACCCCAAAAGGTGCTCAGAAAGATGGTATTTAATGAAAATTGAAAATTAAAAAAAATTTATTTTTCTACTGCAAATGATTCAACCTCAGCTATTTTAAAAAGCCAATGGGCTTATTAAGCTCCTATTGTCTCTGAAGATTGAGTACTGTTTCTGAATATGTAAGAATAAGATCCTGTTTTGGATTTCATAGTCTCCTTAGCATTGCTGTTGCATTCTGTTATGTTAGAATGGAGAAGAGATAACTGTTATTAAAGTTCTTATCTCAAACATTTATGATAAACTAGAAATAGATAGTAGCAAAATAACACATTCAGTTTTTAAACACAAAAGTTGTGGATTCATTACAGTTGACTTACTGAGTTATCAAACTTATTTGAATAGAAAAAAGTGGGTAATTCATCTGATTACCTGAAATTAGACAGATGTCTACTTGGAATGTATTTTATTTGTTCTGTAGCTTTGAAGAAATATAAAGAAAAACTTGTGTCCAGAGCTTAATAAGCAAGAACTAAAAAATATTATTACCTGAACTGTACATTATATAACCTTGTTAAATATGTTTGTGTGTGCTAATAATTACGGTTAGCATAATTCATGATCTTTAACTGATAATTCATCTATCATTTATATTTTTTAATAGGTTTTACTGATTTCAGAGAGTAAGGAGAGGGAGAGAGAGATAGAAACATCAGTGATGGGAATCATTGATCGGCCCCTACTGGGGATCGAGCCTGCAAGTCAGGCATGTGCCCTGACTGGGAATTGAACCTGGTTCATTGGTCGATGCTCAACTACTTAGCCACACCAGCCGGGCTGTATCTTAAGTTTTTAACATCTTATATGCAATACTACCAAGCTGTGGAATGAAATTGGAAACCATTTCAAAATGGGACATTTTCCTAGAGTGTATATAGTATATATACTGATGAATCCTAGAGTGTGTTTTGTCTTACTTTAGTTTTGATGATATAAAGAAAGATATATTTTTAAGGTTTTTTGCTACAATTCTAACAGGAATTTGGGTTCATTACAATGTAGTCCTCTTGGTTTTACTTAGAAGAAAAATATACTTCAACCCTTTTATATTAGTAAATTTAATATTTCATGTAGTTTTGGAACTCAAGGTAGTTCTAAGTACTTGTTAATATTATATTAATGGGAAACAATTCAAAAACTAGACATTTAAGTTTTTCGTTGTTGTTAAGGAAAAGTAACTGCACTAGAGTTATTCAGCTAGTAATTGATGCATTATGCTAGCATTTTCAATACATCCCTTCTTTTTATTACAGAGCTCCACAGGATAAAAGAATACTTCTTGTGAATTGTCCGAATAAGAGTCTTTCACAGTCTTTTGAAAATCTTCTTGATGAACCAGCATATGGTTTAATACAAGTATGTTTCTTAAATCTGTATTATTAATCTGTTAATCTATCTCCATTATTTTATATACCCTGTACCTCTCAACTTTCTTAGTTACACAGAATGAGGCAAATGTCTCTTTGTAAACTTTATAAAACTGTTTGCTGTAATTTTATAGAAATAATAGTATGTTTTATATTGTTAGAAGCTTCCTTGGTTCTTAGTTACTCTCAAAGCATTTTTTTCCCTTTATAATACTGAAATAGCTTTCATTGATTAGGTGAAATATCATTGTGTAAGCTATTTTGAATTCATTAATGAGAAAATTAGGCAAAGATCTGGTTTGAATTTTTATTTTCTATTTAAGTAGGTTCTAATTCCTCTTAAAATATTTGAGTATATTCTTGCATTTGGCTAAAAATGTGCACTTGACACAATAAAGTTAGTTAATTTTTCACTCAGATTTGTATGTAATCTAATGAAATGGTTGTTTGTCCATTCATTTACTCACTTATTCACTCAACAAATGTTTGAGTGCTTACTCTGTCCCGGATATTCTCTTGGTTCTTTTTTTTTTTTTAAATTTAAATTTTTATTGATTTTAGAGAGAGAGGAAAGGAGAGAGAGAGAACATGCAACATCAATTAGTTGTTACACTTATTTATGCATTTATCGGTTGATTTTTGTATGTGCCCTGGCCGGGGATCAAATCTACAACCTTGGCGTGTAGGGAAGATGCTCTAACCAACTAAGCTATCGGGTCAGGGCTCTTCTTGGTTTGAAGTTAAACAAGATAAGTAAGGAAGACAAGAGAGCTAACCACTGATTAAAATAAAAAGTGAGGGCCCTGGCTGGGTGGCTTAGTTGATTGGAGCATTGTCCCATACACCAAAAGGTTGCAGGTTCGATTTTCAGGGCATATACCTAGGTTGTGGGTTTGATCTCTGGTTGGGGTGGGTACAGGGAGTCAACCAACCAATGTTTCTCACATCAATGTTTCTCTTTTTCTCTCCCCTACCCTCTCTAAAAATCAACTAAAACGTATCCTCATGTGAGGATTAAAGAAAAGTGAGGGAACAGATTTTCTTACTGTGATTAAATAATCAATAAAGATTGACTTTAAAGAAGTAACAATTTTTGCTAATTATGAATAATCAGGCATTTTGGGATTTAGAAGTAACCCTAGCAGTAGAAAAACCTTTTGCTGTTTTTTTAGGCACAGCACTGCCCAGAACGAATTATTTTTCTTGGCATGATTTACTAATCATATAATTAGATTAAAATATCAGCTAATATGTAAGTATTGTGAGCTTTTAAACTTAGCTACCAAATATTTTGTGTTAGGCTAGTGTGGTACTGCACGCTTCAGAAATACATAATGTTCTTTTGTGAAGGCAGGACTGCTAGACAGAAGAAAGCTGTTGTGGGCCACTCACCAATGGAAAGTAAGCACTGCATATGTTTCTGATGTGCAGATTGAATGAAGCCTGCAAATCATTTTTTGCCTGTAATTCAATCAGTAGCATTAATTTCCCATTTAATATACTATTTTAACCAAATGAAAAGATTGGCTTAGAAAATTAAATTTTTTCTCCTCGGAAAAAAATAATATTTTAAGATAATCTTAGACTACTCTGTTTTAGTGCTGATTTCCCATCATGAGGTATTTATATTTTTCATTTGAATTAATGCTAATATTTTTCTTTCTACTACATAGAAAATTAAAAAGGATCCTTATACAGCAACTATGGTAGGATTTTCCAAAGTCACAAACTACATTTTTGATAGTTTGAGAGGCAGCGATCCCTCTACACATCAGCGACCACCTTCAGAAATGGCAGATTTTCTTAGTGATGCTATTCCAGGTTTAAAAATAAATCAACAAGAAGAACCGGGATTTGAAGTCATCACAAGAGTGAGTGGAGATTTATATTAATATAGCTCTTATATTTTAACCAGAGGAATGTTTTTAAACATGTATGAATGCTATATAAATAGAAACTCAATTTTAGTTTTATCTGCCTCTTTCTCATAATCCTTTCTTGTAACTTTCTGCTAACATATTTAAGAACTGACACTTGTCTTGCCACCAAATTGTTCTTCATCGATTACTACATATTCTTTCTGTTCATTAATGTTGGATCTCTTTTTTTTTGGTTACCTTTCTTTACTGTTATAATTGTATTATTAGTTATTGTTGTTAATCTCTTAACTGCACCTAATTTATAAATTGAACTTTATCATTGGTATGTAAGTAAAGGGAGAAACAGTATATATAGGGTTCAGTACTATCCACGATTTCAGGCATCCACTGGATCATGGAAACTATCCCCTACAGAAAAGGGAGGGAATATTATATACTGAAAACTATGCCAGTGAGTTTAGGTATTCAAAATATTTTTAAAAACAAACCCAAATACTAGTAGTACCCTGCAAAGTAATTCTGACATTCATGTTTAATATCATTTAACTTTTCTACATATGAGTCATTAGAGTTGTAACTACAAAATTTTCCTTTCCTAGCAATAGCCTCTAAATTTATGGGTCCACCCCAAAGTGTTCCTAAAAGATCTCTTTCGGTCTGTAATGCCTCCTGGAAATAAAACTTCTTTGCCTGAAGAAGCAGATTTTTTTCAAAGCTCTAGTTACTTCTGGTGACCCTTTCATAAACTGCTTTAGCCACTTGTGCCCCTTTTGTATATTCAGTTTCATCTGAACACTGCAAGACCTCTTTGACCATTCCTAAGTTGAAAGCTTGTTTTGAATCCAGTTTGAGGGCCCCACTTAACACTTTGAGAGCTTATCTACTGTGTATAATTTCAGCCAGCCGGGCAGCTCTGCCTCAGCTTAGTATTTATTATACCCATCTCCTTGTGAACAAATCTGATCTAACTCTTTCTAGTCATTAATCTGAAATCACATGCTGTAATAAATTCTGCTCCTCCAACCAAAGCCCAATCTTCATACAGTGGGATACTTTTTAAAGAAAGTTTCTTAAATCTTACTAAGGTGTTTTCCATCCTCTGGGGTTCCTAGTACTTTTATTGCTTTCAGATCAGATCCTGAGGAGAAAGTTAACACCCAAGAAGTTATTCTTTGTACTTGGATTGTTCATAGGGAGAAAAGCCAGTGCCATTGTCTTCCTTCTGAAGGTCACTAGATTCCCCCAGGAAACAGTGGAAGTTTTCTTTTTATTTCTTCCACATGGAAGCCACAAGATGTACTATAAAGTGACAAACCCATTTGATGTAGCAATTTTGTCCTTAGAGAATAGATGATGTTTTCAGAAGACTTCTTGCAATTTCCTGTTTGGACTCCATTCCTCTTTGCAAGCTGCTTTCTCTTACTGGAATGATCTGATTACCTTTTAATAATAATGAACAGATTGCTTGTTTCATTGAGTGGACAGCAGTGAATAGTGACCCTAGGCAGTGGTAGGCAAACTGCGGCTCGCGAGCCACATGTGGCTCTTTGGCCCCTTGAGTGTGGCTCTTCCACAAAATAGTGACTTCTGCACATGGGCCACGAAGTTTCAATCGCACTGTACATGCACGCCCACACGTGTTATTTTTGGTATTTTGTGGAAGAGCCACACTCAAGGGGCCAAAGAGCCGCATGTGGCTCGCGAGCTGCAGTTTGCCGACCACGGCCCTAGGGGATTGCTTCTAGTTCTGTTCCAGAGGCACCAGTCAAGACACTACTACTATAAGGTTTTTATTCTCATGGGAATCTTTTCTTTTTAAAATAATATGGACTTTGGACCTGAATTATGGCCAATCGTTACATATCTGCGCAACAACACTTTTGAATTTGCTACAGTGCTAGGCTGCACATAGTTAGAACATTATAAATATCTAAATTGTGGTACTTAATTAAAGGGCTTATATTGTAAATGGCATTTTTAAATTACCAACATCCGTTAATTGAATTAAAAACTGTAGAAAATACCAAGTGGAGCTAATGAATCAGTTCTGAGAGCTACAAATTTTAGTTTGGAAGAAAAACTAATTTTAGAATATGATTAATGGAATAATACTGTTTTTTAATAATATAGCATACCATTTAGTGTGAAGGGTCTCTTATAGGAATTTACATGTTAACTGTTCTGCACTTACATAATTGAAACCCAAAATAGCAAATGTTTTTCCATCCTGAATTTATAACCCAATTATTTGTATGTTTAGTAGGAGGAAAAATGTATGGAATGTTAACTATTTAGTTCATAAACTAAATATTGGAAAACAAGGGAAGATATTAAAAATGTTAGGACATTTCTGAGTAATCATATTTTAGATTAAGTTTCTATTACCATGATTTCATTTCACTGGTTAAAGGTATACTTTTTATTGGTTATTTTATTTTAGATTGATTTGGGAGAACGACCTGTTGTTCAAAGGAGAGAGCCAGTATCACTGGAAGAATGGACTAAGAACATTGATTCCGAAGGAAGAATTTTAAATGTAGATAATATGAAGCAGATGATATTTCGAGGGGTAAATACTTTAATATGGATTGTATTTTAAACTGCTGGTGTTCAAGATTTTCTTCTTTTTTGGGGGAGGGGAAGGGAATGAATTCCTTTTTGATGAATGATGCTTTAAAAGTGTTGTAGGACAGAGTTAGATGCTTGTGATGTCCCTGATGTCAGGTGGTATACCAGTAAGCCTAGGGAAAGATATTTTTCCTTACTTCAGATGTGATGGGTTATGTGAAGAAGACATGTATATGCCCCAGTGGTAGTTGTGTTATCCAGTAATGATTTAGTTTTGAAAGACTAAACAGCCCCACTGTCTGCTATGCAGTCTGTTGTATGTACTCTGCATTATTTAAGCTTTCTGGCAGCTGTTTATATCTTGAGAATCCAGAAGTCAAAAACAAGATTGTATTTACTGAATTGAGCTATTTTTATGTATAAGACTCAAATATTAGTCTTTCTGTTTATTTAAATGCAAGCTTTGTGAACTTAAAGTACTGCATTCTTTTTTTACAAATGCGTGTAATATGCATGTTTTCTTCAGGGACTCAGTCATGCATTGAGAAAGCAAGTATGGAAATTTCTTCTGGGTTACTTTCCTTGGGACAGTACCAAGGAGGAAAGAACTCAATTACAAAAACAAAAAACGTAAGTAATTGTCTTTTGTATGTTCATCAAAGAAATTCAGGTAACTCACCCATAGAAATTAATAAAGGGTTTTTATTTATTATTATTATTTTAAAATGTTTTTATTGATTTCAGAGAGGAAGAGGGAGAGAGCGATAGAAACATCAATTATGAGAATCATTGATCAGCTGCCTCCTGCATGCCCCCTACTGGGGATCCAGCCTGCGACTTGGGCATGTGCCTGACTGATCCGTGACCTGGTTCATAGGTTGATGCTCAACCACTGAGCCACTCTGGCTGGGCAGTAAAGGGTTTTTAGATGACTATTTAGGATATGTAGACTAGGATATGGGAAAGTCATTTTATTTTTATCTTTTTAATTTAAAAATTATGCCCACCAGTGCAGGAGTATGAGGGGGTCCACAGATTGTGTTTGGAGGTATCTTTGAGCTCACTGAGTAGACACCATGAGCAAAATTTACTCTCTTGAGTAAAAAACAAACAAACTATGGACAAGAAATTATCATTGAAATTAAATGAAGGCAGATATATCCAAGGAATATTGCAGGGATTTGATCCCTTTATGAATCTTGTGATAGATGAATGTGTGGAGATGGCAACTAGTGGGCAACAGAACAATATTGGAACATGGTAATACGAGGAAATAGTATCATCATGTTAAAAGCCTTGGAGAGTATAAAGAATGGCTGTGTTCACCAGAGAAATCAGTTGCTTCTACATGTCCCCTCTCCACAGCACCTGTTTTACTATAATATAAAAATTGGGTTGTATGCATTTTCATAGTGAACTTTTATTATAAACTTTGTGGTAGTAAAAAAATATATTATGAATGCCATAGTTATTTCAAACCAGAAACATTTATTAGACCTTGTTGTAGTTATGTACAAATATTTTGAATACTTGAAAAATAACTAATTAGATTTGGATTTTAAAATTCCTCATTTATCTAGATTTATTTTTGTTATTTATTATGAGATTATAAAATAGCTCATAAAAAGTGTATTTGCTATTTAGGTTAATTACTTTTAATTAATTTTTCTGTGCTCTTGTAATGTAACATAAACTGATCTTTCATTTTTTTTGGAAGAGTGTTTCTATTTTTAAATAATCTCTCAGATTTGAAAAGAAACACAGAACAACTTTCTAGGTACACTCTTATTATTAGTTCATCAGTCTAGCCTTTAATTTAAAGCTCACTCCTCATCATTATGTGCATATTCAAACTCTCAAACAATTCTTTTCAACTTTTTTGCCAGTTTTTGTAAGACATTTTTACATTAACAAGCTTATGTAGTAAACTTGTCACATTTTAAAAAGTCTGTAGATTTGTATTTGTAATTACTCAGAAACTTTCATGGTTAAATACTTAATGACTGGAATAATTTTAGGTATGATATTAGGGATTAAGGTAAATGTTTCCTTACAATCATACCTAAATTATTCTAGTAGTTTAAGCAAAATTTATGACATGTATAAGGTTGTTTTATTTTTCCTTTGTTTTCATAACTTTAAACATTTCAGTATCATTTATAAACTTGCATCTCACTAGCATTATAAATGCTTTGATAAAATGTTTGTAGAAAAGCTCAATTAAAATTTTTAAATAAAATGTTCAAAGTAAGCTGTTTTTGGTGTAAAATTGTTTTCTATAGTGATGAATACTTCAGGATGAAACTACAGTGGAAATCTGTCAGCGAGGAACAAGAGAAGAGAAATTCGAGGTTAAGAGATTATAGAAGTCTTATTGGTAATTTTTTCTTAATTTTGGAAGTGCACGAGAAAGGTTTACATTAAAATCTTGATAAGATTTAAGAAATGAATATTTATGTTATAGAATTGGGACTCAAAAGAGAAATCAGAATTCAAGAATACATTAGCATGTGTTTACTATTCTTTTTAAAAATATATATATTTTATTGATTTCAGAGAGGAAGGGAGAGGGAGAGAGCTATAGAAACATCAGTGATGAGAGAGAATCATTGATCGGTTGCCTCATGCACACCCCCCACTGGGGATTGAGTCCGCAGACCAGGAATCAAACCGCGACCTCCTGGTTCATAGATCAACGCTCAACTACTGAGCCACGCCAGCCCGGCAGTGTTTACTATTGGTTTTTCCTCTTCAAATAGCTATATGAAGTTAGTATATTTATAAATACTGATATATTTTATATTTTAATTTCAAAATGTGAATTAGTAAAAACAGTATTTAACTTTACTTGCTTGTTGAATTAAAATTATTGTCTTATTTTAAAAAGTTTGTTTATTATGAAAAATTAGGAACTGTAGATGAACAAAGAAAAAATTAAAATTAGTTTGTTCCTGTCATCCAGAGATAACTGTTTAAATAGGCTTTGGTTTATATCCCTCCAGATCTCCTCTAAATATGAATATATTTAATTTTTCATTAAATGACTCCAGATAGATAGAAAATTTTGGTCAATTTTTGCAAATTGAATAACTATTAACCTAAAAAGGAGATGAATGATAGAATTTTATATTAAGAGAATTAGATTTATTTTTAAATAGTGAATACTGGTTGTGTGACTCTTATGATAAAGGCCAGGTTGGAAACGTTATTGAAGGAATGCATAGCTATAGCTGTACAAGAATTTTTTTGATAATCACGATATTTTAAACATTCCCATATTCATTCAGTATTTTCTTAGTGCCTATTATGTAGTAGGTTCTCCTAGGCATTGGGGATAAATCAGGGAACAAAATAAAATTCTTTAAGTAGCTTTTGTTCCTGTGGGGAAGAACAGACAGTAAGTAAGATAAGAAGTAACATATGTGGTATGTTAGTGATAAGTGCTAAAATAGAAAAATAAGGCAGGAAAGATGGTTAGGAATTTTATGTGTTGTGTTATTTTAACTTGGGTGATCAGAGGCGGCTCTTCTTGAAAAGGTGATATTTGAGTAGAAACTTGAAAAAGGGGATTGGTGAACTATGTAGGTACCTAGGTGAAGGGCAGTCCAAGCAGAAAGAAACATGTGTTAGACTTGTTTCCATCCCAGGGTCTTGATGTTTGAAGTACAGTGGAGAGGTGAGGGTGGCTGGAGTGAGTTGGGTGGAGTATAGAAACTGATGAGGTCAGAGAAGAAATGATGGATGTGGTAGAAGATAACGCGTTGGATGCTTGAGAAGAGAGGAGAAGTTGTATAGTAGTTATATGAATACGAAGAGGATGAATGGTAAGAAAGGTTAGTGATGGTGAATGTAAAATGGGATTAGTCGGCATGGTTGTGTTCTTCAGTCTTAAATTTTTAGCTACATCAAGTTGGACGGAGAGTTGGATTTATTTTTAACTTAAGTACTCATTGTCTTTCTAGAAATAGTTTCTAGAAATACTTTCCTTATGAAATAGCATTTTTTTAATTTATTTTTTTTTTTTAGTATTCTGCTTGGCAGAAATATACAAGAGGAAAAAGTACAAATAACTTTACTGTGTTTGAAACACCTGTTAAGTCAGATAATCTGTATTGGCATTATGACTATGTAAATTGTGCTTAAGTTAATAAAAAACTCATTATGTACCACTTTATCAACTGTAATATGAGACTGAAATATTTTGACATTTTAAATGAAATTTTACATTTATAGCATTTTTTGTATTGCTATTTCTTATTTCACAATTCTATAGATATATACTTCCTTATTAAATCTCATGTGGTATAACAGAAAGTTAGAATATTGATCTAATACATTCTAAAAATGTTCTTTCAGAACCTGAACTGGTCATCATCTATTGTTAGATTCTACTCTGTTATATAATATGCTCCCATTTCTCCACAACTTTTAAACAGAATTGGTTATAAAGTACATTTATCATTTTGAGTTTTAAAAATTTCCAATTTACTGAGGGATTTAGGTTAGAGAAATGCTCTTTTTAGTTGTAAAGTCTTTCCCAAGATGCGTTTAATAGGTTCGTGAATTGAATTGTCAGTATAACTTGGGATACTCTTGTGGTGATGTTTCCAAATCTGTTTTGAATGTTATGAAATCATTTCCAGTAAAATGTGGATTTTCATTTTTTCAAAATTAAAATAAATTGCTTATACTAACATATAGACTGAATAATGTACATATGAGAATAAGGAAGTAATTTGTCCTGAAGATGATTATGGAACATGATGAAGAAATTGATACTACTTCTCATAATTAATGAAGCAGATATGAATGAAACAAATCTCTTTGATTACACTTGATTGCATAGTAGCTTTTTTCATTACTATTTTCAAATAATACTGCCTAATTACAAGCATCATGACTGGCATTTTTATTGCTAACTAATGTGAATTACTACCTAGTGTTGCTTTTAATTAATGGGAAATATTGTCTATTATTCAATTAAAAGATTTCTGTGTTTAGATAAAAATATTTAAAAACATACTCATGGATAGGTAGACTGATTTTTGAAAATGATTCCAAAATGCTACTTTATTGCATATCTGAAATGGAATTTGATTACTTATTTTCATTAAGTAAAGTCTTGGCAAGAGAGTAAAGTTAATAGCAATAAAAATAATCCTGTACTTATAAGATGTGAGCTTTATAAAAATCTGTTTTTTGAAATGTTTTCATATATGTGATTTTCCTCCTCAGAAAAAGATGTTAACAGAACAGATCGAACAAACAAATTTTATGAAGGCCAAGATAATCCAGGGTTGATTTTGCTTCATGACATTTTGATGACCTACTGTATGTATGATTTTGATTTAGGTAAGTTCTACTCTAATATTCTAATTTAAAAAGATTTAGAATATTGATCTAATACATTTAAAAAATGTTCTTACAGAACCTAAACTGGTCATCTTCTATTGTTAGATTCTACCCTATTGTATAATAACTTCCCCATTTCTTCACAAGTATTGATTTGAACATTTTTAATACTGGCATTGCTCAGTGGTTTAGCATCAACCTATGAACCAGGAGATGAGGGTTTCATTCCTGGTCAGGGCATGTGCCTGGGTTGTGGGCTCGATCTCTAGTATGGGGCATGCGGGGGGTGGTTGATCAATGACACTCTCTCATTGTTGTTTCTATCTCCTCCCTTCCTTTCTGAAATCAATAAGAAAATATTTAAAGAAAATAGAATTTCAATTTATTAACCTGTTAGACATATGTATCTAATAGTTCTGTGGCCTAATTTTTATAGGGATTGTTCTACAGGCACTGGAAACTTACAAGGCTATGGCTCCCAAATTGTGCACTGAGGAGCACTGTGTTGTCTTAGCAAATTCATGGGGACAACGTGGGATATTTTAAACTTTTCAGGGAAATATAGTGACATCTATAGGACACAGCTTAACTACTAGCTGAAATAGGGTTTCAAATTAGATCACCACATTACTTCTGATGAGTTACATATATGTGTGTGTGTGTGTGTGTGTGTGTGTGTGTGTGTGTGTGTGTGTGTGTATAAAGACTTTTTAAAATTGATTTTTAGAGAGAAGAAGGGAGAGGGAGAGAAACATCACTGTGAGAGGGAAACATCAATTGGCTGCCTCCTGCATGTCCCCTACAGGGGATGGAGCCTGTAACCCAGGCATGTACTCTTGACTGGGAATTGAACCAGCAGCCTTTCCGTGCATATGACGATGCCCAACTGAGCCACACCAGCCAGGGCTGAAGTTATATCTTTGTTAAGCCGTGTTTTTGGCCTTGGCTGTGATAAGCAGTACTGGTGAAAATAGATTAGGTACAGGAATGAGGTTGGCGGTATCCAATTGGATTTCAAGGTTTGAGAAGTGGTGTAATGCCCAACAGATGCTAAGGTCATAGGGCATAAATACTTAGGTTGTTTGGATCTAACTACTTAATAAATGGAAATGTTAGTTGTTTCTTTGAGCCATGGGGTACCTTGGAAAAATTTACTTAGATATTAAGGGTTCTGTGAAGTGAGAAAGTTTTGGAACCTTTGTTTGATATGCTTTCTCCCTTATTAAGGAATGTATTGATTTGATAGACAGGCAGTGCTGATAACTCTGTAGGGGCATGTAGAACTTTACTTTCTTTTCTTGGAAAGGGACTGCATGCCCTATAGAGTTATCAGCACTGCTTGTCTAATATAGTTTCAAAAATGGGTTGAAAACACTGGTACTGTAGGTCAGAGTTGGGGATTGCATGGGGAAGAGATGCTAAGGAATAGATAACCTAAGAAACGAATATATTAAGGGGCAAGTGAACTTGAGCTATTTCTTAAAAGACCAACAAATTCCCTAAGCATCAACCTTTAAATAAGTTTAAGCAATGGGAAATTTCTGAGTATACCTACCAAGAGAGGGATTCCAAGTAGAGGATAGTAGAAGTAGATATTTTCCAGATTACTTTAATATAGCTAGAAACATCTTTTGGAGAAGGTAATTGGATATTTGGCATGTAAACCCAAATGAACCTTGAATTATGGGTACATTTTATTCACCATTTGTATCTATGTGAATTCCTCCTGGCTTCTTATATGTATACTAGAGGCCCGGTGCGTGAAATTTGTGCATGGGTGGGGGGTCCCCTCAGCCCAGCCTGCACCCTCTCTAATCTGGGACCTCTTGGGGGATGTCCAACTGATGGCTTAGGCCCAATCCTGGGGATCGGGCCTAAACTGCCAGTCGGACATCCCTCTCCCAATCCTGGACCACTGGCTCCTAATTGCTCACCTGCCTGCCTGCCTGGTCGCTCCTAACTGCCCCCCTGCCAGCCTGGTTGCCCCCAACTCCCCCTCACGGCCCGCCTGCCGGCCTGGTTGCCCCACACAGCCTGCTGTTCAGTCGTTTGGTCGTCCCTCACTAACCACCCCCTGCTGGTCTGGTCGTCCCACGCCGCCTGCTTGTTCAGTCGTTTGGTCATCCCTCACTAACCCCCCTGCAGGCCTGGTCGTAGGCAGCCATCTTGTTAGGGCATGCGGGTTAATCTGCATATTACCTCTTTATTATATAGGATTAGGGAAAGATGTAAACACTTTATGGATCTTTGAGGCATTGGCCCATTTGGTGACAATAAGTTGAAAATCACAGATTTCTCTTTAAATTTTCACCAGTCTGTCACACTTATAATGTGTCTCAGCTTGGATCATTGAAGAAATATCAGTAGAGTGCTTTTCAGGTTATAGAGTGCTGTCATACTTGATTTAGATATAGATTTGGATTCTAATAGCAGCCTTTTGAAGAAGTGGGAAAGTAATGCCTACTTTAGGCATAAGGTTATAGTGGTTTGGAGAGTGATTCAAGTTTGCACAAGTAGTAAATATTGGACTGGTGGGGGTGGAAACCCAGATCTTTCAGGCTGGATTTCTTGCCAGTATACATTCAGCACCCTGGCCCTTTGCCAGCTTGGTTTCTGTTACCACTGTAGGGAAGGGAATAGGACCATATTCCTAGGGAGTAAGAGGCATTGCCTCAAACTCTCAGGTAGGAATTTTGAGGTAGGAATTAATTCATATTCTCAGAAAGAATTCCTGAATGCTCAGATTTTTTTCAGGGCATAGGCCCAGACCAGCTAACTGCATAAATTGCTCTTTTAGTTTGTTTGTATTAACCCCACATTCTTTCTAGTCAAATACTTAAGTTATCTGAAACATAAGCAAGCTTTCCATGAAGAACTCTGGCCTTGTGAGAAGCCAAGGTAGTTTTCATAAAGCAGTGGACCAAATTTCTTGCCTTTTACTCATAGCAAAGGAACTTGGACTGCATGTAAACTCTTATAGGTGATTCTGTCATATTTAGTTAATTTAACTTATTAGCCCATAGACGAGGTAGGTATAAAGTTTATTTGTGTTGAATATAATCTTAGTAGAGGCACTGGGGGCGGGGCGGGGGGGTTGCCTCAGCCCAGCCTGCACCCTCTCCAATTTGGGATTGCTGGCTGCCAACTGCTCGCCTGCCTGCCTGCCTGCCTGATCACCCCCTAACCACTCCCCTGCCAGCCTGATTGACACCTAACTGCTCCCCTGCCTGCCCAATCGCCCCCAACTGCCCTCCCCTTCTGGCCTGATCGCCCCCAACTGCCCTCCCCTGCTGCTGGCCATGTGGCTTTGGGTGCCGCCATCTTTGAGGGTGTGACAGTCAATTAGCATATTCCTTCCTTATAGGCTGTGGGTGCCACCATCTTTGCGATGGCATGAGGGTCAATTAGCATATTCCCTCTTTATTAGATAGGATTAATAGTAAGGAAGGAGACAAAAATGATCAAAAGCAGACAGAAGACAAACATTACAAAAGCAGTTAGAAAAACTCAAGGAGGACTGAATTTTAGTTCAAAGACCCCACACCTAGGGCATATCAGGTATCTGCTTTATAGGGTATGTTCATCATTATGATCCTGAATAACCAATAAGTGAAATTATGCTGTATATAAGAAATCAGGGAGTGTCTAATTTTAAAAAATGATTTCCAACTCCTAAGATTATTTAAAATTCGATACTCAAAGGCAGCGGTTCTCAACCTTCCTAATGCCGCGACCCTTTAATACAGTTCCTCATGTTGTGGTGACCCCCAACCATAAAGTTATTTTCGTTGCTACTTCATAACTGTAATTTTGCTACTGTTATGAATTGTAATGTAAATATCTGATATGCAGGATGTATTTTCATTGTTACAAATTGAACATAATTAAAGCATAGTGATTAATCACAAAAACAATATGTAATTATATATGTGTTTTCTGATGGTCTTAGGCGACCCCTGTAAAAGGGTCGTTCGACCCCCAAAGGGGTCGCGACCCACAGGTTGAGAACCGCTGCTCTAAGGGTTAAAGTTCAGTTGACCTGGAAAATTAAGGTAGATGTAGATGAAATGTTATCAGTGTGAGAGTATACACTAGGGTAGTAAGGATATCATTTCTCACACCTCTCCACTGAAACAGTTGCTGTGTAAATAATTTCAGGGAACTACTTCAGAAATTGTAGTAGTGCTGATTAAGATGTGCATCAGTCAGCACTAGTGAAGGCTCTGAGTGTTTCTGAATGCTAATTTAAACAGCCTTAGTCTTTCTTTAATTAAAAGGAATTTGTAAATTAATTCCACCCCCGCAACTCATGGCATATCCCAACTAACATCATGTATAAAATGAAATAGATTACAAGCAACTAGAACACAAAGATTAACTTGCTTCAGCTAAGACTTACAGAAGAAATATGGTAGTGATGCCTTACGAAAGCTGAAGATTTAAAGGATTAAATTGGCTTTTAAAAATTTTTTATTATACCTTTATAATAAAGCATTACCTCCCCCCCTCCAGTGGAAAGGTGCTTTGTAAATCTTTTGAATAGTACACTTCGAAATATTTTATTATAGACCACATGCAGTCAGTAAGACCCAGTAAAGTAAGTACTCTTTTGCACTTTGTTGAATTCAGATCAAATTTCTTTCATGCTTTAATTTGTTTAACCTTTATATTTGACATTGCTTTCACTATGTCAGTGCCATGTAGGAAAATTTTGGTGATAACAATTTAATCTTTCTTTCAACCTACTTATTCTTCTTTTTTTTTTTTTAAAGTGCTGTATTAGTCAGGGTTTGTCAGAAAAACAACCATTAAGATTAGATGTGTTTGCCTCGCTCCTTCACCGCCCCCCCCCCCCCCAA